ATTGTTTAAAAATTTTGTCGATATATATTGGGTTCTCACATCTCAGTATCTGTCCCTGACTTGATAGATACACCAGTTGCATCCAGTTTGTGTAATTAGTCAACTAATTGTGGTTAATTCACAGACTGATCCTTTGTTTTGTTGTTTGTTAATGCATATCTCCTCATCTGCTGTGGAGGAAGTCTCAGGCCGCTGACCAACTTGCTGCTGTTCCTGGTTAAATCCTCAGCTGATACCTAGTCGATGGGACATTTGCCCAGTCCAATCCTACACGCAATGTTCAAGTACCATGTGACCATTGTTTCAAGTGACATTTGACTCTGGAAATAGCCCTACAATTCCTGTTGTTCGTCTATGGGGAATACCCCTTTGGGGTATTTGTGGGGATGAAGTGCTCCCATACAGGTCACCCTTTGCCCCATAGACTCTTGTTACTCCTTAAACCGGGGAATTAGACATCTAGAGAGGTCTTTCCACCCAAGGGGGATTATCACCTCCACTCACAACCTTGGGGGATTATCAACCCCTAGAGAGGATTACCACCTAGCTTCTCACTATCCTGGGGGATTATCACCCCCAAGAGAGGATTATCACCTCTCACTATCCTGGGGGATTATCACTCCCTAGAGAGGATTATCACCTCTCCCCTTGTAGATTTCGGACTGTTACACCAATATGTAGAGAAAAGTGATCTGCTGTCCATATTTGGAGTACTTCATCCCTTACCCCTTTTTTCCCCATAATAATTCTGGTCTAGTTACTTGCTTTATCTAAGGGGTTATGGGTTAAGAGCATTAATCATTGATTTATATACATAGTTAGCGATATATCGCTATAGGTGAAGCAAACGGTAAATCCAGTACAGTTACTATAAAATAACAATGGGCTACACAAACAGATTGTGTGGGCCCCCTGTGCTTTAGCTCGCAGGATATGTTTGTCGGACGTGCGTTTCAGTTTGGGTTTTACAGAAAATACCTTTAAACTTCCCTGAAATCTATCTTTGTTTTGAGGTTAAGCCGTTAAGTGCTAAATATGCTTTAAAATACGCATATGAAAATCAAATAGGATAATGAAACAAAACAGAAGACAGAGAGGAGTCCCAGGTCTAACGACAGATTAGAGCCTGGTCACCTAATCAGTTTCTAACCGGCTGGGCTTGACAATTGTGAAAGAACGAGTTTAGTGAAATTTTGCGAGATACGTATTTCTAGTTTCGCTTTAATTATTATTTCGAACTATTGAGGTTATATGTCCATCGTTTTCTACATGTTGAAATGTAAAGATGGAATATAGAAAACACAGGCACGCACATCGTTTGGAAGCGTTTTTTTACAACACCGCAACAGCTTACCAGAGCATGTTTTTCCATCGCCTGTGAATCCTGCTTTACATGCGCATGCGTACGATCCAACAGTATTACTGCAAACCGCATTAACGTCACAGCTGTGAGAGTTGGTAGAACACTCGTTGATATCTGCATGAGAATTGTAAGTTACGTAAAGCGTTAGAATAACTAATATTAAATCTACCTGATGTTTTACATCTGGTAGCTAAGGTGAATGCATCCATTTTTTTGGTTCTTGTTTGTTTGTTGTTTGCATGTTTTAACAAATATGCTTTTAGGCTTTTTTCCAAAATGACATGACAGTGTTGAGCTTTTGCACACAAACATTGCACCTTCAATGGTTTCATCGTCTTGTTTAAGAACCTTCAGATTAGAGTAGGTTGTCTCTTTGAAAAACAATTTATTGTGTGCAATTTCAAAGTTACGATATGTGTAGCTCTATGTCGACTTATGGGTCGCTTAGGAGAGGTGGTCGCACATGGAGGATCAACTGTATCTCAAATACTATTGCATTTTTTGAGCGATTTTGAATGAATTTGAGTTCTCCGTTGACTGTTCCATAAAATGGAAGTCCTTCTATTATATGGAACAGTCAACGGCGAACTCAAATTCATTCAAAATCGCTCAAAAAACCGCTTTTGAGGCAAAAGGACGACTATACACCACAGGCAAGGTAATTCAACGTTTATTTATCATTGATTTATATACATAGTTAGCGATATATCGCTATAGGTGAAGCAAACGGTAAATCCAGTACAGTTACTATAAAATAACAATGGGCTACACAAACAGATTGTGTGGGCCCCCTGTGCTTTAGCTCGCAGGATATGTTTGTCGGACGTGCGTTTCAGTTTGGGTTTTACAGAAAATACCTTTAAACTTCCCTGAAATCTATCTTTGTTTTGAGGTTAAGCCGTTAAGTGCTAAATATGCTTTAAAATACGCATATGAAAATCAAATAGGATAATGAAACAAAAAAGAAGACAGAGAGGAGTCCCAGGTCTAACAACAGATTAGAGCCTGGTCACCTAATCAGTTTCTAACCGGCTGGGCTTGACAATTGTGAAAGAACGAGTTTAGTGAAATTTTGCGAGATACGTATTTCTAGCTTCGCTTTAATTATTATTTCGAACTATTGAGGTTATATGTCCATCGTTTTCTACATGTTGAAATGTAAAGATCGAATATAGAAAACACAGGCACGCACATCGTTTGGAAGCGTTTTTTTAAAACACCGCAACAGCTTACCAGAGCATGTTTTTCCATCGCCTGTGAATCCTGCTTTACATGCGCATGCGTACGATCCAACAGTATTACTGCAAACCGTATTAACGTCACAGCTGTGAGAGTTGGTAGAACACTCGTCGATATCTGCATGAGAATTGTAAGTTAAGTAAAGCGTTAGAATAACTAATATTAAATCTACCTGATGGTTTACATCTGGTAGCTAAGGTGAATGCATCCATTTTTTTCCCTTGTTTGTTTGTTGTTTTTATGTTTTAACAAATATGGTTTTAGGCTTTTTTTCAAACTGACATGACAGTGTTGAGCTTTTGCGCCAAACATTGCACCTTCAATGGTTTCGTCGTCTTGTTTAAGAACTTTCAAATTAGAGTAGGTCGTCTCTTTGAAAAACAATTTATTGTGTGCGATTTCACGGTTACGATATGTGTAGCTCTATGTGGACTTATGGGTCGCTTAGGAGAGGTGGTGGCACATGGAGGATCAACTGTATCTCAAATACCATTGCAAGGTTTTCCATCTCCTGTGTACCCAGCATTACACGAGCATTTGTATGAACCCACGGTATTCTGGCATACGGAATTGACGTCACAGGAATGGGAACCAGTGGTACATTCATCCAAGTCTAAAAAGTAAGCACACAGAGGCTTCTTGTCAAACAACATGACTTTTTTGGTTAATGAAGCTTGTTTAAAAAGAATATACTGTGGTGTATTTGGGTAATTGACGTACACTGGCAAGGGAAAAAAAAAATGTTTGAAAAAAGGAACTTGTAAAAAGGGTCGTAAGCGTGCCCTGAGTTAACGTATGTACTCATGTTCGTTAATAATTTGCAAAGAGGTGTTTAGAAAACCGGGTTAAAAGGTAAGCGGAGGTTAGCGCGACTTTTCCCGTGGTTCCAACGTATGAACGCTGTCTAGTTCTTCTTTTGATTACGCCGATTTCATGTTTTTGCGGCCATTTTTCGGTCATTGGACATTTTTTTAATGCAAATGTATACGACTTGTTTCCCTATGTTTCTAACAATGAAACTGATCGGTGTTACCATCTCTTCATTTTCGTGCAATCTGTCTCACCATCTGCCTAACATGCTGTAATTGTGTTTCGACCTTTTTGATGTAGTTTTAATTCAGTAGATTCACTCTCTGGAACGTGAAGATTAAGATATATACGGTTATAAATCTTTATAGTGCTACGCTTATTGCCTTTAAAACAAGTGTAGTTGTAACAGTTAGTACATGGCACATCATTCCAAGTGTAACCATGCCTGGCGCCGAGAGTGTGAACACAGTCTTCGTTTTTCCAGTCGTTCGGTTGCTGTAGGGCCCAGAACCTAAATTTGCTTATTTCTTTGTTTGTCCACACAAAGGAGCCCTCCACACTTCGGTCATTGAGTCCAATCCAAGATCTCTCTCCGTTGTGACCGTGTTGAATGTAGACATTTTCTTCTTGATTGTGAACCGTTACCAAATTGGAACTCATCGTAGAACAGTTTGACTCAGCGGTCAGCCACGAGGCGCATGCACGACTTGTGAAGTAACAGTAGCCCCCAAAATAACTCCATCTCGGCTGGCAAATATCTGTGATAAAGATATAAAACGACTGTGCAGTTTAGAAATCCCCACACATTTGGTCCACAGGCTTTCCTAAGGCTTAGTAGGGAGAACGGAATAATCGAGAAGCGCGAGAAATGGAGGCAAGCAACGCGAACGACTGGGGACGAGGTAGCTTCACAAAAATCATCCAAACTGCTTTTACGGCCGATACGCTTAGCAGGAGGAAAAGAGGAAAATAAAACTGACGACGCCAAATTGAGAGCATTATGTACATGGGATAATCAGTAGCAAAAACATTGAAGTACTTCCAGCGAACTAATATTTAAAATGATCACCTTCCTCTATTAATGAAATGACTATCGTATAAGTTATCTCTTTATGCATTCATAATGAATTAGTTGTGAGTAACCAGTAAAACCTACATGTTACTAGAACGACAATTCCATAACTCGTTCTTACCTGAAAAGACAGTATATGATACTGAGAGAGGGTCGTACTTTGACTCGTACAACTCTTTTAAACAAACTCGAGCTCCTGTTGTGTTGATATACTGAAAAATGAGATGACGATAAGAGTGCATTTGATAACGCACAATTCCTTGATTAAGTCGTCTTAGTCTCGACAACATAATGTACTTTGCTAGTGATTGCCGTTAATACTGTATTAACTGCAGTTTTACCGACAAGTACTTAATTGAGCCCCGTGCAATTAACCGGACACCACATTTTTGGCCAACAACTCCCAACATTGTTGGATGAGCGGGGGTGTGTTCAAGCAACTTGTTGGCTACACTATGAAGTACTGTACAGTACCGCAAATGATCCCCAACCGCAAATGATCCCGAGACCGCAAAT